ATACCACCGAATCAGCATTCACAAATGACTAAGCCTAACCCGTGATTCACAGGAAATACCAGCGCAGACCTACCTTATTGGTGACGCGGCTGTAATACGTTGACTTCTGTAGACTCGGCTTCTCTATGTCGTCGACGGGCGTAAGGGGCGGGAGAGACCCCTTGGGCTTGTAGCAGCGGCAGTGTTTCTCGTCGTGCTCCCTCAGCTCCCTCTTCTCACTGGGAGCCTCTACGTCTACTTCGTCAGGCATCTTGAGAGGTCTTCGACTCCGATTTGCAAGTTATTATTGTTTCCTGAGAACGATTTTTATTCTGGTACTGTGTCTCTTCCGTATGTGTTTTTTTCACTCACTAGTTATGTTGTCTTTTACCTTTCTTTCTGTAATTGAACTTGGAATTGATTGTTGTATCGAAATGACATTTATAGGCCGTGTCTTTCCTTCCTTTTCACCAAATACATTTTTGTCCTCCATTCCCCACTTTCCCTTATCTTTTTAATATAGCTTTGATACTACGTTTTACTTACAAGAACAAAGGTTAAAAAATGATAATAACGATTATCATGATACAAATGAGCGAATGAAAATTAATACAATAAGAAAATGATGGAGGTGGTGATGACGATTTGCTCAGAAAGTTGGTTATACACCCAAAACAACAAAAACAATTATCAGAATGGCAGTATTGATGATAATATTGTAGTAACTGTAATGATTATCATAATAAATAATACATCAGTAACTGTTCCATTCTTTGTCGCTCTGCTCCTAACCCCCCGAGTACAACCCCATACAACACGGAAAACTTAACCCATAAAAAGCTCACAGCTGATCGTGTTGTTACGACAGCCCCTGTTGTGAGCACCTATAAACAGCGAGTCGTATCTCGGGCGGCCAGGATGATTCGGGTGCCAAGGTGATGCTGCTCTGACCCTCGAGGATGACCCTGGGTGCTTTGGGTCTGTGGAAGAAGGGGCGTGGCCAAGGGAGGTTCGGTGGAGAAAGAGAGGCGTGGCAAAATGATTTTTCAACCAACCAGAAATGAACGCAATATACACATAAACAACTGCGAGCGGGGGGAGGAGGGGCGTCGTTAGATCGCGGCGTGCTCGAGGTCTTGTCTGTTAACTTGGGCGAAGACTTGACACGTAGTAATTTAATCTGCATAAGTATTTCAGCGTGCAATGATGCTTGCGCTGTAACCTTCTCTTACTAGTTTCACGTAACCAGAACCAGCTAGTAAAACCATCACACGACCAGCAAAACCAAACAAAACAAAACCAGGGAGATACAAATAAACCTAACACGTGATGCTCGGTTAAACCAAGTGACACATGAGAGACACTTGGGGCGAAAACAAAGAGAGATCATCAAAGAGACAGCTCATCCCTAATCTACCGCAGATGCCGTCACCGTCGCCGAAAGGGTGAGAGCCAACTGAGAGCGATGAGCGTCGGGACAATTAGACCGAACAGCCACGGATGCAACTTGCACTGAACAATCCAGCAGCAGAAGAAAACACGAGTTGACGCATCCGCTTGGTAACAGAAAGGGGCAATTGCAACACAAAAAGATATGTACTACAATAGCACCAATAATAATAATGAACATTGCAGCAGTAGCCATGAGTGATATTATTAGTAATGACAACTAAAACAACAATAAGAAATAGGAATAAAGACGCTAGAGATATATAAAATACATGCACATGCGCAAACACACATATGTATGCAAGCACAACTGGAAACATACACGTAAACATACACAAATATACAAATGTATACATACACACAATAAATCTATCTATTGCCAAGTTCCACAGACGGATTCAGGTATCCACATACCCTTGAGTACTTGGCAAGATACGGAAGAAGAAAAAAAAATAAAGAATATCACGACAGCGATCTTGAAGACAGAAAAAGCCTAAGAGGCAAACACGCACATAGAAAGAAAGAACGAGAGAGAGAGAGAGAGAGAGAGAGAGAGAGAGAGAGAGAGAGAGAGAGAGAGAGAGAGAGAGAGAGAGAGAGAAGAGGAGAGGAGAGAGAGAGAGAGAGAGAGAGAGAGAGAGAGAGAGAGAGAGAGAGAGAGAGAGAGAGAGAGGAGAGAGAAGAGAGAGAGAGAGAGAGAGAGAGAGAGAGAGAGAGAGAGAGAGAGAGAGAGAGAGAGAGAGAGAGAAGAGAGAGAGAGGAGAGAGAGAGGAGAGAGAGAGAGAGAGAGAGAGAGAGAGAGAGAGAGAGAGAGAGAGAGAGAGAGAGAGAGAGAGAGAGAGAGAAGAGAGAGAGAAGAGAAACAGAGCAGAGTTATAGACAGACAGAAAGAGGAAGGAGAGAAAGAATATAAAAATAACGTGAAGAACACAATAACAAACTAACTTCAAAGCCATATAAACAAATAACGAACACTTTTGAATACCATTTCACCATTTCAGACATATTAAAGAAAACAGTAATCAAACTAACTTTTTCCATAATATAAACATAACACGTATTAAGCCACTCG